TCAAAGGCGTTTGCCTATCTTTCCCTTAATAAATTGACTTGACTTGACTTGATCGCAAAAGTCAGCGCGAATCAAAGAATACAGGATCAATTATTCAACTCAACAACGCACACAGAAGGCCTGCTATGCTGACTAGTCAGTAATAGTAGCTTGAGCTCGCGTTCCACTTTCCTGCAGGAATAAAAGAGAAAACTTGTCGAGAGCCAGAACAGTTTGCTTATTGTTCTGTGCTTTCAAACTGGTTCAAGTGTTTATCGCCAGAGATAACAACAAAAAGGGTAGGCGACAATGAAGGTGATTATAAACAAATCAACTATCACTGCCGAACGCCTAGAGAAAATGCACAGGACTATATAAGCCGCCGCCAAATCGATAAATTAATAGATTGAGATCCCATCCGTGGATCGGATTTGAAGCAATTCTCAACATAACTTGTTTCCGGGCAGGGCGAACATCTTAAGGGCTGCGAAGTTTGATTAATCAATTGTTTTACAATCACCAGGTTGTGGAAGAAAGTCGACAAGCGACACTTGTAGACAACCAAGAGGCGCATTCATGATGCGGTTGGCAATTAAATCGACCTACCACAACAACTCCACGAAGCGTTTACTTGCACTATTCTTTGACTTTTCCACGACAAGTCACACATGGCTACCTTATACTTGTAGGAGTCCGTTAACGGTCTCCGCCTCTTTCGGACAAGAATATTCGCAATGAAGGACGTGACCTCGTCTGGGTCAACATTCTCGTCAGGCAAACCCATCTGCTCTTTTGAAGAGGCAAAACGACGTCAATATTATGCAACTGGACGAAGTTCAGTACATAGGTAAAAGGCAGCTGCCAGTTATGACGGAACAGATGACGTCGTTCCAGGCTTTCCATTATTTGGCATTATTGTCAGTCAGTCAGTACATTTGAAGGAAAAATAGGCTTGCGCCTTTGAACTCCCTATATGTCACATCAAAATTTCAAGAATAGAAACAATGTTAACAAGTTTTCAGTCAGGAAAATATAGACCGTCCCTTGGTGCAGTGGTTTTTCAAGGTTAATTTGTCAGATATTTCACGTTCGTTATCGGTGTTGGAATGTTTCCACAGATTGGGACATAAAAATCGCCTCGGAAAGGCTATTCCATGAGTCCACGACCCAATTAGAGAAAAAATACTTCCTCATATCCAATCGTTCTTGGGACACATACAATTTGAAGGGATGTCCCCTTGAATATAGTGACAAGCCATCGCACGCTAAGGATGTCACCTTGAGCTAAAATAACGCATAGATTACAGACTACGCAAGCCAGTACTTACAAATTACCATTACACATGTGGTAGAATGCACAACCCGGCCTATTTGCCCGGTAGGTGGCGTTTATTTGGGCTACCTCCAGATATTCAGCATACGTCGACAAGCAGATTCGGCGTCCTAAAGCAGGCGGCCCGCATCTCCCTCTCACCTTCTTCGTAGAGGAAATTGGGGATACATTCACCCATCTTAGAAAACAAGGCATTATTCATGCATCTTACGGTATGGTCACACCATAAGGCCCAAAGACGTACGTCTGCCAGGTCCCTTATCTTGTAATTCAAACCATAACAACATATAACTGCGTTTTGATAAGGCAAGTTTACCTTTTAGACATACTTTCAAAAGTCCCGTGGCACGTGCTCCATTAGCTTAAACAGATTTTTATCATGCTCAAGGGTAATATACGGAAGTAGGTGCATGCGAACACTATTTTTCACCTGTAAGCGTGATTATGTCGCCAGTTAACCGCCACCGCGTGCAATTGAGTCTCACGTAAGATAGCCGAAAAACGGCCCATGCAACCGACTTTCAGTGACCTAAATTCTTTATAAACCGGCATAAGCAACCAACACAGACTTTTTCCTAGAACTACAACTGTGTAAATATCCGGAATGACATTAAAAAAAGACACACACATAGCGGCACTTTAAACTGTCACCGCGTTGATGATTCACCCGCAGTTTACAGTTCCGGTTTCGTTTGAAGTTCATATTGGAAGCCTGTAAATTAACAGCACCATTATTACGGTTAACTTTCTCAAATTCCCTTACCGTGAACAGCAAGTTGTCAAAATTGTCAAGGACTCCATTGTGCATTGTCCGCGAATTGCAAATAATATTTTTGATGAGTTTGCATCTCTTGACTTTTAGGTGCAACCCTTCTTTTACCTTTAACGCGGGGATCAAAAGGAACGGGCTCGTGAACATTTCCGCCCTGAACGATGGGCCACAGGGAACCCTTGCTTTTTATACGTTATATTATACGTTATATTAAAGAATATATCACACTCCACACACCTGCGTAGTCAATCCCTAGCTAGCATAAGGTTAAACATACTTCACACACGCACACATACTTGCGGATGTGAAGATCAAAGATCTCTGCATTAGATTTGGAAATTTACGTTCATTTGCCGGCTTGAAACGGTAATCAGTCTCAAAAATACGATCAGTACACACAATAAAATAGTAACCTGACTAAAATCACCCAATTTACATCGGATGGAGGCAAAATTTCGGCCGTAAAAACATGCAAAAAGTCTCTGACACATGTCTATCGGTCGCGGTTTGCCTAATAATGAAAAACCCTCCGACGCAATATTAAAAAT